TGTTTTTCTCGTTGCCATGTTCCCACCAATAACGTAGCTCCATTTTCTGCCTTTAAAAGCACACACAACCCACAATTCCTCTATTCGCTCCGACGAAGGGCTAACGCTCGAAACGTCAGCTTTTGTAATCGTTACGGTGGCCAATTTACCATTTCAACTTTGTTGATATATCCAAATTACTTCGTTACTCCCACTGACGCAGCCCCACACAGTTTCTTACGAAACTATCAGCCTTTATTTTACCTGATAAGTTTGAGTATTCACATTACCTGTTTACCAGGTTATGTATCAACATCATAAGGAGAAGTTACATGTTAATCACTTCTGGGAGTTAGAGGGTTAATGAATTATTAATATAAATGCAATCTATAATAATAGCTAGCTGAGAAAATACCTGTACTTGCCTCGCATCAGTTGGCTCAATTCTAACTTCATAAAAAAGTTCATATTTGACTTTGTTGGTTTCAAGGGATTCAATAGCTTCTTTGACAGGCGGCAAAGTCACCAACTAAACAAAAACATCCTCTATTATAATTATTTCATTATACTTTTCTTTATTTTTACAAGTGATTAAGTACCCTGCCACAGCTATTAGCTGATCAAGATCAACATGCTGTGGGTATGTTTTTCTGCTTGTGTAATCAAAATCACTTTCAATCACTGTTAGTTACACACAATACATAGTAGTTTATACGGTAGTTTCCAAAAATTAATTGACATTATATACTCATGCTAAACCTCTAGATACATAGTTTTTCCAGTTGCTTCAGGATGTCCAGCTCTTATTTTGCATGAAGGCTTCAATAGATTTGATAAAAATAGTTGACATCATTTTGTGAGGAAGTTCAGTTTCTCATCAGTATTTTCATCAAAAATTGTTGAATGATAACCTTTGATTCAGTTTACCCCCTTCTGATGATTTCAGTTACAATTAATTCACTTACACAAAATATAATAGTGAGCATGATATTTTTATCTACCTTTTGATCTGTGACCACACAAACTTTCTTCAACCCACGGTTTTCAAAGTCCTGTCAACAAAAATGCAGATTGAATTCTATCTACACTATTAATAGCATCAAGTGCAATTAACAACCCAAACAATATTCCATTTCAGTTTTAATCTTGGTAAAAGACTTAATTCATTTTCCCTTCCTTGTGAAGGAGTGTCTCAAGGTCTTTCAAAGGAGTGATTTTAGAAAATGGAACAAATCCTAAAATACAATTTAAACAAGGATATAAAGTAGAAATATCACAATATTGCTGTGTAACTGCAACGAGCTGCAGCAAACTCACCATGCCAACTTCCCTTGTAACTCCTTCACCATATCTAATGCTGGAATTGGCCACCTAATATATGAACCAAAAATACCTATAAACTCTAAAAAAAAAACTGAGTGAGCTGTCATTTTTCAAGCCTAGTAACCCATAAATGTCTGAGTGTGACTCCTTTAAGCACGACTGCTGAATCAACTATTGAGGCGAGGAGAATAAAGGAAATTATAGACGAAACCTAAGGAAGTTCTTGATTCTTAAAATAAATTCTCCTATTCAGTCACATAGCATTTATATACAGAACAATATGGAGAATATACATACTGGTTTTCAGTTGTGAAGTGTTAATGCAGCAGCTAAAACTTTATCACAATTTACAAAGCATAAAACGACTTGGAATACACATTGGTCCAAAGCAGATTGCCCCCCTTGCCCTGCCCTTAAGCATTTGTTCAGGTTTCTCCTGGGGTTTTGCTGTTACTAATTCAAAGGGGTGCACTAATCCAAGCTGTAAGTGACTTGTGATTTGGCGTCAACTTCTCCCTACGCTCCAAAAGGAAATTTAAAAGTGGCTCATAAATAATCATACTATTTTTTTGTAGAGGTTGCACTTAAGTATAGAGGAGTAAACCAATACACTGCTCAATAAATACTCTAAGATTTTTATTTACCTCAAAAGCACATTCCGGTTCCACATGATCTTTCGCAATAGATGATAGTCTTGGTACTATAAAAAAAAAAATTAAATTCACCGAAGAAGCGTGTGAATCGGTAAACTGGCATTCTCTTGATGCGGAACTTTCACATGCCTTGAGAATGAAATTACTTTGGAAGAATGACAATAAGAAAACAAAAAGACTGTGAGACCCAAAGTGATCAAGAACTGCAAACCTGGTGAGAAGTTTTGAGAGTGAGCAGGACATCTACATCTGCAAAAGCAGAGCAAAATAAAAATGCTTCTAATACCTTCTGAAAATTACGATATACAGAGACACTGAGATTGGTAGCATGTAAAACTGGTTCCAGTTGGAATACCAGGGAGGGTATTGCAAAAACACACCCCCATCCCAAATTGTACGTCCAGTCACGGGCTTTTTATACCTCGCAGAAGATATATAAAATTCTACAGACATATCACTATAGCCTTAATGGTAATTGATGCTTACGATGCCGCTCCGACAAGCCTCATCAACCGTAACGCTTGTTCACGAAGGGCCATCGAAGCCATGATTGTCGTCCTGGCGTTGTAAACAAAGCGAACGCAGAAAAAAGCTGGGTTTCAGTTCGAAGATGGCGGCTTAAGCCTGGTTACAAAGTAAAAATAAGGCCTGGATACTCATCGTGAAGTACAAGATGGCGGCGGTACTTTCCGAAGAATCGCACTTTAAAGATACTAATGAGATACAGGAGGAAGGGGATGACGAAATTGAAGACATACAAGAAGCTGGAGGAGATCCTGTGAGCAAAAAGAAAAAAAAGAAGAAGAAAAAGAAGAAGGGTCAGTTATGTTTGTTACTCACACAGGGAATCGATAATGTGATTACAAAACAGATACAAAAATATCAGCTAAAAACAAAATGACATGCGTGTGCGACTTCTAGGATATCCAAGCTTTCTTTGCAACGTTTTCCTTATTGATTTAGTTCTTCTGTTTTCTAGTGTACACATTTTGGTGCTCTCTTCTCTGACTTATCGTCTTTTTTTCGCAGATGTTAATGGAAAAATTTGAGTTTTACTTTCCTCGTAATGTTCGATTAACTCACCAGAAGCTCTGTTCATGTAGTGAATTCTTGAATATCTGTTTCTCGGCAAAGAATTTCAAAACTCACATCTGTCCATCGATGAATGGGAAAATCATAACCAACACGAGTTTAATACTGTATCCTTGAACAAACGTTTCAAACTTTTTCCTCAGGCACTTTAATAATTAAAAAAAAGTTGACTTCTACTACCGTAACGTCAGTTTTTGGGTCCATGAGCTTGACAGCGGATTTCAGAACAAGAATTATTTTGGAATTTTGGGGCTTGTTCTGCTTGGTGGTGGATAATGGAGCATTGTTTACTTTACTTCCTTTAACCTTTCAACTCCTATG